AGCAGGAATTGGAGCATTGCAATAGGCCACAGGGCAAAAAACCCTCAATGGGATATAAATCTAAATAATAATAATAATAGTAATAATAGTAATTGATATCCCTGTTAAGCCTCTTCCGAACTGACACTGCTGGTGTAGCTGAGCCCCAATGCACTCAGCCCCCCGGCAGGGTGGGGTAGCCCAGGCACACGCAGGGTGCACACCCGCACCCCAGGAGCTCGTTGCACCCTGGTTGCACCCTTTGCTAACGAGAAGAACAGGCCTAACATGGGCAAGCAGGGGCGACGCTGGGGAAGCCGCTGGCAGGGAGTCGGGCTCCTGCTGGCTGGGACAGGTTGTACCGTGAATCACGCTCCCCATTCAGGGGTTGGCCTGTGAGTCACAGCCTCCGTCCACTGGGTCCCATGTCCCCCGTGTGCGTGGGGTACGGGGAGGGGAAGTGACACGGTCCGCAGGATGGCGAGGAATGTGCCCCAGGCGAGAGAGCACCCTCCTCCTCCCCGGATACTACGCAGGTGATCCCCGGTCCGCAGGGAACCCCCAGGCCCAGGTGGGGCCGGTGCCAGGTGCGAGTTCCTCCGGGATGTGGTACCTCCTCTCCTGGTCCTCTGGGGTACCAGCCCTGCCCCTAAGCACAGAAAGGGGTTGCATCCTGGCCTGGTGGGTCCCTGGCATCAGCCGCAGCAGCCTCTGGGCTTCTCTAGCACCACGGGCCAGGCACCAGCTCCAGGTACTTGTCTGTGAGCCAGGGGGGGTTCTGGCTCCCAGGATCTGCAGCAGGCTGCACTGTCTACACCTACCCTGCACCCCCGGGGCATACAGGAGTGAGGGGATACCAGGGACGTGGAGTCTCAGTGCTGGGGGGCAGAGTCGTGTGCCAGCGGACGGGAACCTGCGGTGCAATGACCCGTGCACAGCCGCAGGGGCACACCAGAGACACCTGACGATGGCTGAGCTGGGGGCCGCCGCAGGATCTCTGTTTCTGCTGGGGGTCTGCATGAGAGCCCTTCTCTAACCACTAGGCCCCACTCCCCTCCCTGAGCTGGGGAGAGAACCCAGGCGTCCGGGCTCCCAGAACCCAGGGCTCTGGGTCAGGCAGGGCTCCCCGGGCTCCATCCTGCCTTGTCCCCAGTGTCCCATGCCCTGGCATTAGGGAGTCAGACCTCCCCATCATTCCCCAGCCCTGTTCCCCTGTGCACGGCTGGAGCCACCGTCCCCCCCACGCCGGGATCTCGCTGCATCAGCACCTGCAAAGGCTTCGCTGGGGAGACAGGCCCGAATGCCCCGGGCCCAGGAACCAGAGCGACTGGTTCCTCCAGGTCCAGGCCGGGAGGCTGCGACCTGCTCCGCGCTGCCGTGTGTAAACGGCTTGGCATGTCGGGGGCCACTCCCAGCAGCTCCCCTAGTAACGGCATGGCTAGGGACCTGCCGGTGCTCCAGGGCAGGACCCAGAGACCCCCTGGGAGCCCAGTGGAGTTTTGGCTGAGCTGGGACAGGGGCTGGAGCACAGGCGGGAGGTGGGGAAGACTCATGCACTCTGCTACTGCCTGCCTCTGAGAACTGGTCATGTCACTTAGCCTCTTGGGGCCTCTCACCCCACCTGATCGTGCCTGAGGGTATGTGATGCTTGGCCCTGGGGTCACGACAGCTGGTATAGCCGGCTCCCTGCCCCTGTGCCATCTGCGGTGCTGCGTCTACACAGGGAACCTGGACCTTGGCACCAGCGCTGTGCACCCAATAAGACTCCCTCAGCCCAGAAGGGGCAGGAACGATCAGCCCTGGCAAAGACCCCTCCGCCCGCAGGGCCAACCTGCCTTGGCAGCTTCCCCCACCACAGCAGACTCCTCCGCACCAGGGCCGGGACCAGGGTGAGCTAAGTTTTAATCCTGCCCTGAGATCGTCTGCACCCTCAGGCAGGTCTTTGATCAGCCCCGTGCCTCAGTTTCCTCCCGTGCATGGGTCACACCACAGCCTTGCAGCCTGCTCTGCTTCCGGGGGCCTGCTGGAGCTCTCCAGGTGCCCTGACACCTAGGTCCCTGGTTACAATTCATGCCCCTGCAGGACATGACAAGACCCCATGCTGGGGCCACAGGGTGCAAGGCCAGGGATGAGGCTGGGGGTGCGGGACATGGCCCCTGAGGGGGAAAGCTGCACCATCACACCACAGAAACACCTGGTACCAGGCTGGGCCCCGAGCGCAGCGGGGAGCATGAGGGTGCGTCTTAGGAAAGAGAAAGAAACAGCTGCTCTGGTTGCCTGGCCGGCCTTCCCTGCGCCTGGGGCGGCTGCCAGGGGCCGTCCAGAGGGTGGGCGCTCGTACCCAGCTCGCACAGGCACACACCGGACAGCGGGGCGCAGCGGCTGCAGGCTCCAGCAACAGTTTCCCACGCACTCCTGCATTCACCCGTAAGTGGTGGCTTTGCCAGCTGCCCCCAGGGGTGGGGAACGAGCTGGGGTGGGGGCAGCCAGCCGGGATGGGCTTGATCCTGCTCCGGCCCACGCTGGCGACTCCAGGGGTTAGCTCACCCCTGCAGCCCAGGGGTCAGCTGGCTATCAGAGTCTGCTAATCGACGTGCTAATTGGAGGGGGCAGACAGCACCCGAGCTGTGGGGGGCAAGATGGGGCCCCGGGGCTGAGAGCTGGGGGGGGCCGGAGGGAACTCAAGGGCCAGGGTCCCGGCATGGGGGCAGGCAGCTCTTGTCCCCGAGACAGGAGCTAGTCTGGTGCCTGGGGTGGCCACGGGCCCCACCCTGCCGCATGCCAACCTGCCCACGCCAAAGCCGCCCGGCCTGAATGGGCTCTCTGTCCAGCTGCAAACAGTTGTAAACAGCCCCCCCACCCGGCCTGTGGCCACGCCAGGACTGGGGGTTGGGCAAGCTGCAGACTCGGGGCCACATCCTGCCTGGCGCTGAGGCCATCATGAGGCCTCCACTTGCACCCCCTGCCCTCTCTCAGTGGTGCCCCACCCCGCACCCGGCTGCTCCCAGGGGTGCCCCAGGGGCCTCTGCAGCCAGGATTAGCGCTGGTGACTCATTGTCAGGGCCTGGGGCCTAGCAGCTGCCCTTGGTGTGATAGTCACAAGGACAGGCCCCGGGCAGGCAGACAGGAGGCCTTGCATCACCCGATTCTGCTGGGGCTGGGATCCCGGGGACCCGGCGCTGAGGTCCAGCAAGGCTCAGCACAGCCCCGGGAGCAGAAATGGCAGCTGCCTCTGGGGTGGGGCAGGGCACATTGCACAGTGGCTGGGCAGCGGAAGTGAGGCCGGATGCTGCCCGCGACATTGGAACGAGCACCCCGATGAGCACCTGAATCGGCATCTGGGACAACAGCGGGGCCACGCCCGGGCTCTTGCGCAAAGCTCTGGGATCGAGACCAGGATCGGGGCTGGGAGGGGGTACCGGGGCACAGCCAGGCAGGGCCCCCCAGCCCGCTCCCAGCCCTCCTCTAGCTCCCTGCAGCCGGGGGCCATCAGTGCCCCCTGCCCAGCCCCCGGTCCGGGGGTCCCACCCGGTGCCCCCAGCCAAGCACAGCGGGGTGGGGAGCGGGGCCGAGAGGAGCCAGCGGGACCAGCTGAAGCACAATGTGGTGCGGCTGGCAGCCCCGCCATGCCCCCCTGCCGTAACCGGAGCTGCACCGCACTGGCTTTATCAGCCCGGGCCAGCCTGGGAATCCAGTTTCCCGGCTCCGGCGTTACCGCAGCAACCTTTCACCGAGCGATTCTTCAGTAGGACAAGGGGCCTTTCTGTGGCCGCGCCGCGACAGGCCTGGCGGCCAGGGGGGGCTCGGATGCGTCACCCGATAGGGCCCCCCTGGCCTCCTCCCTTTGTCCAGCGGGAGACACTCGATCGCACGAGCCTTATCAGCTCGCCGGGTGCATTACAGCCCATCCGGCTGCGTCTGGCACAGCTCAGAGTGCCCTGAGTGTGCCCAGCCCTCAGTCTGGTGCCGGCTGGGACACGATCCTGGGGTCTGCACCCCTGTCCCAGCATTGAGGGGACAGTGGTGGGCACGGGGGTCCTGGCCTGGCACCAGCAGTGACTCCCGTACCCTAGCCACGGCACAGTGCAGAGTCCACACCCCACAAGGCCACAGTGCTGCCGAGCCAGGGGGGTTTCCATGCATGGAGATGCCAATGACCCCCGTCCAGTAGAGCTGGGGGTGCAGAGGCATCTCCGGGGGTGAGAGACAAGGGCATGCACATGTGCACAGGGCACAAGCACGCAGGCAGCGAGCACCGTGTGCTTCACCTGCCCCAACGGGGACAAACGGGCCCCCCAGGGCATTTACGTCCCTTTAAATCAGGTGATCGCAGCCGGCAGTGCCAGCCAGCCCGTCTCACCGCGGGTATCAGATCCTCCCGCGGGGAAGGGGGGCTCGGGCTGACGTACTTAAAGTCACTGACCAGCCACATTGCTCATTCGCGGCTGCCGGAGCAGGTGGCTGTGCAGGCAGCCCAGGTGCAGGGAGCCCAGGTGAGCCCAGGGGCCAGGGTGTAGCCCAGGGAGAGCCCAGGTGAGGGCCCAGCCAGAGCTGATGGGCAGCGGGGAGCACAGGTATGGGATACAGGGGCCAGGGGATGTTTCCTCAGGGCCCCTGGGATGAGGCAGAGCAGCAAGGAGCTCAGACCCGGCTGCTGGAGCAGGGCCGCGCCTGAGGGGCTCTCCCTGGGGGGCCCTGATCCTGCCCGCGGCCGCAGCTGCATGCACCCCAGTGCAAAGCACCTGAGTCCCAGGCACCCAGCTGCCCTCCAGGGCAGAATGAGGCCCCTGGTTACCCCAAGGCAAGGAGGGAAGGAGCTGCTTGGTGGCCTGGAGGGGACCCGCGGCCACAGCCGCAGCACGAGGTGGGGAGCGCAGCATCCCTGGGAGCCCCCCAAAGTCTGCCCCCTTAACCCTTCGGACTCCTCTCCAGGCCAGCAGGATGGAGTCGCAGCTGGAAAGCGCCATGATGACACTGATCACCGTCTTCCACAAGTATTCGGGCAAGGAGGGCGACAAGTACAAGCTGAGCAAGAAGGAGCTGAAGGACCTGCTGCAGGGCGAGCTCAGCAGCTTCCTGGAGGTGGGGGCTGCTCCCAGGGCAGACAGGAGCTTGCGGGGCAGAGCAGGGGGGATGGGGGAGTCAGGGACAAGACCTGGGGTTCCCCTGCCACGGGCTGCAGGGCACGGGGGTGGGTGGGCATCCCTAACCCGGCCTGGGGGTGTCCCTACCACAGGTGCAGAAGGACACGAGTGCCGTGGACAAGATCATGCAGGACCTGGATGAGGACAAGGATGGCGAGGTGGATTTCCAGGAGTACGTGGTGCTGGTGGCTGCCCTCACCGTGGCCTGCAACACTTTCTTCTGGGACGACTCCTGAGCCCAGGGCCAGGCCCCAGAGCCCCATGGGAGTCGCACTCGCTGCCCCATCCCCACAGCCCCCAGCTTCCCGGCTCAGAGCCAGCCTAGACCCCGCTACGCAGAGCCGTGCATTAAAGCCTCCGACCAGCCACTGCGTCACGTCCCTTCCCGTGCGCCAGGGAGGGGGCACGGGGACCCCGGGGAGGGAGCAGGGGCTGGAGGTGCCATGTATGGTCATGCTGCACCACAGTGGGCACCTGCCTGGGCTGCACCAATCCTGGGGGTCAGCCCAGGGCCATCCTCATCCACGGGGAAAACCGTTTGAATGTGAGATACTGCAAGGGTGGGAACATGGGCAGCTGGTGCCTTGCCGACTGCAGTCTTGGGGCCGGGAGCAGGTGCCGCACCCCAGCACTGGCTGGAAGAACTCGTTCCTATTTCCCGTCCCAGTGGGAAGGAGCCAGCAGGGAATAAACAGCCTCCTCCTGGTTGGGGCTGAGCGGCACCACACTCGTGTCGGGAGTGCCCTCTGCTGGGCTGGGCTCAGTCCTTGGCACCGCGCAGCAACCTGCACCGCGGGCTGGGAGGAGGCCAAAGCGCCCAGCAGCGCACGGAGGCAAAGTCTTTGGCAACATCTTTTATTAGAGCAACTAAAGAGTTGCAAAAAAAGGTGCTGTTTGGACGCACACATCCTTCCCAGGCAAACAAGAGACATTAAAAAGGGTGAGAGATGAAAGAGGGTCACCAATCCCCAGGGCCAGGCTGGGGCAGAGCAGAGCTGATGGGAGCAGGGGTGGGCCCAGGGCAGCTCTGAGGTGAGTGGGGAGAGCTGGGGCCAGACCCTTCCCCCTCCCCCCTCCCTCACTGCCCCCTCCCAGAGGAGGGAATCACCCCAGCAGGGAGCCAGAGCATGGGCTTGGGGGCAGCTGCCTGGGCCACAGCGCCTGCGTCTCCCCCAGGGGGACGGATCTCACACCACGCAGCCACAGCAGGCCCTAGCTCCGCAACCTCGCCCCAGGCCCCGCCCCTTTCCTGAGACCCCGCCCACTCCCATAGCCCCGCCCATTCCCGGGCCCGCACATCTCCCTTTAGCCCCGCCCATTCCCCCTAGACACCCCTTCCATTCTCCTGGCCCCATCCATTTCCCTCTACGCCCGCCCATTCCCTACCTCCACCTGTTTTCAAAGATAACACCGCCCCGCCCCCCCTTCCTCTGGCCCCGCCCATTCCTCGGGCGCGCCCGTTTCTCTTTAGTCCCGCCCATTCCCCTAGACACCCCTCCCGTTCTCCTGGGCCGACCCGTTTCCTTTAGCCCCGCCCATTCCCCAGAGATCTCTCCCGTTCCCCTGGCCCCGCCCACTTCCCTTTAGCCCCGCCTATTCACACCTCCCTCTGCCTGTGCACCCCCCCCAGATGTCACATGGTAGGGGAGGAAGGAAGGCGGTCACGTGTGTCAGGGGCTCCCCGCCATGTATCGTGTGTTGTAGGACAGTGTCACGTGGCGGGCGAAGCTGTCACGTGCTTCAGGGGGCTTCCCGCGAGGGCACGTCACGTGCTGTGGGGATCGCGTGCGTACAACCTACACCCCTACACAAAACTAGGAATTCTTGCCATAGGGACAGCGTCACGTTCTGCCCGGGCAGCGCCTGCGCAGTGCGGCCCATGAGGCTCCCGCCAGGGAGTGTCACGTGTCGCGGCGCTCCGGCGGCACCTGCGCACTCCAACTTCCGAGGCTCCCGCCGGGGAGCGTCACGTGGTGCCTGGCCGGCGCCTGCGCGTTG